ATACAAAACGATTGGTATTCGGAGAACAATTAAGCTAATTATCACAACAATTAGCCTAATTGTTGCGATAAACTTATTAGATAGCTTCAGATGAAACGATTCGAAACAATACCCCACTTCTGGCCGGGAATGAATCTAACTATTCCGAGGAATCTTATCCAACGACACGAAGAGAGAGAGAGAGAGAGAGAGAGAGAGAGTGTGTGTTGAGAACAAGATGGACGTTCCCACTGGCACGAAACTGCAAATCACTTTCACTGATGGAAAAACATTGGAAGCGAAGATCATCAGTAAAAAAGATCCTTTCAAAAACTGGAACAGCAGACACGATGTATGGTATCCTGACTCATCAAAATCAAGCTTTGCCCAATCCCAAAACAAAGAAGTCCTTCTTGCAGAGATGCAAGGAGGCGCAGCGTTGCAATCTGCTAGTACCGTGGTGGGTTGCTGCAGAATTGAGCAGGTGAGGGGGGCATGGGTGTCTGGGTGGAGGGAGACAAGGGGCATCCTCACCCAAAGCCAACCCTCCCAGTCAGCACCACCGTCCCCATACCAACCGAACTCACCACCGCCGAGCGTGAATAGTGATTTCCCAACTGAGTTGCTTGAGAAATTCGATGAAATGACTATCAGCGTTTTCGGCGACCGAAGGTCGCAGCCAAACAAGTGGCGTCGACTGTGAACCAGGAAACTGCCTATCTGAAAAGCGCACAGTTCCAGCGGTGCTCTTGAGCCATCAAGCTCTCGAAATACTTGATGATCTATCCACATGGTCCCCCGGGGAATAGATGTGCTTTTTCGGGACAGTCCCCATTCGAGAAAGTGAACTGCGAAGCAGATATCCGAGTCAGAGAAGACATCATCGAATCAGCCTACGACATTGTTCACTTCACGAATATCAGCCGACGGCGTATCCTTAAATTTGTACCAAAAGCTTCCAGGATAGCGGTTGCAGCGGCACTGAGAGACACGCTCAACGCAATCCTGGACTCTCCAGACTCGAAAATCGCTTGGCTCCATCTTTTCGTTTTCCCAACTGCTAGCTCCGTTGAGAGCAAGAAAAAGCCAAAAACAGTCCCTTGCTACCCAAGTCAACAACCGAATCACTATATTCATGCAGAACCGAGACCTTGTCGATCTGAAACCCCGCACAAAACTCAAGCAAAGTTCCAACCAACAAACAGACGTTGAACAATTAATGGAACCAGTGAGCGAGAAAATTGACGAAGGTGATGTGGAAAATGCTGTCCGTCTTGCCAGTTCCGACAACGGCGTCCTCGAACTATCTGCAGAGATCCTGATTAAGCTGAGAGAAAAACATCCTACCAGACCAGTAGATCGACTCGTTTTCCCAGAAGACGAATGTCCGCCATTCCAAGCCAGCGAGATCCAACTGCTCATGGCATTGAAATTCTTTCCCGTTGAGTCAGCTGGTGGGCAATCTAGCCTGAGACCACAGCAATTGAAAGACATCACTAGCCACAAAGCAAATGGTGACCTTCATCGACTAATATCTTCACTGAATTCTTTCAATAATCTTCTCCTTGGCGGAAAAGTTCCGACAATAATCCAGCCGGTCATCGCCGGAGCAAAATTGGTAGCGCTACGAAAGAAGAAATTAACCGATGTCAGACCGATAGCCGTAGGAGACACTTTTAGGAGACGGCATCTTATCGTTCGTCGATTTCTCCCTACCATCGTCTGAAAGATGGCAAAAGTAGACCCCTTAGCAGTTTTTGGATTCAGCTCGACAATCCACCCCGGTTTAGACGCCATAAAATTTCGCTTCAAACAAGGTTACCTGGACGACATATCAATGGGAGACAACTGTAGAATTGTTCTGACCAAACTGCGGGCGTTCATCGAGTTCGCAACGTCCCTAGTACTCTCACTAAACGTCAACAAAAGCGAGCTGACCATTTTTGGACCCAACACCAGCCTCAGTGATGACATCATCCGCGAGTTCAACAATCTGTTACCAGGCATTACCGTCACGAAATTATGGGAGCACCGATTGGCCGAGAAGCGCTGGACCGCGTGTTGAACAAGAAACTGATTTCTTTGACGACTCTATGAAAACGAATGGAATATGTAGACGCCCACGAAGCATTTTACCTCTTCGGAAACTGTCTGTTTATTCCGAAACTGCTCTATACTCTTCGCACCGCGCCAATGTTTAGAAGGTCAGATATCCTGACTCTTTTTGATGAAGCAATCCGATCCACGCTACAAACAGTACTGAAGGTCCACTTAGACGAACAAACGTGGCATCAACTCACCCTGCCCATTAAATGCGCAGGGATGGGCATACACAATGTAACAGAACTGTCAACCCCTGTTTTTCTATCCTCTGTTAGTAAATCCCGAGCTCTTGTCGAGTCAATAATCAAAACAGGATTGCCAAAAAATGATTTACGAGAAGCAGCTGACAGATGGTGGCTACATGTGGGAGAAGATGAAACTGCACCGGATAGCGACGATCAGTAGAAACAGAAAAAGTGGTATCAACCGTTCGCTGAAAGTCGTCTCAGGGAGCTCGAAAACTTCTCCAATGAACAAGACAATTTCCGGTTGCAAGGAGCAAAATGCCGAGGATCCGGTGACTGTCAGACCGATAGTCATCAACCCTTCTGAAACTAAAATTCACACCCGAACAGTTCCGTATTGCTCTTTCCTTAGGCCTTGGCGCAAAATTTTCGTAACCGTACACATGTGTATGCAGCGCCCGAGCTGACGTTAAAGGCATTCATGCTCTGTCCTGTGCTAAAAGCAGCAGTCGCCACACGGGACACCGACTTGGGAATAAAGCTATCAAACGTGCTTTCTGTTTGTCCGACATTTAGTCGTCTCTAGAACCAGTCGGCCTCTCACGTGATGACGGAAAGAGACTAGACGATATCTCTCTCTCTCTCTCCATGGAAAAACGGCCTCTGTCTGATCTGGGACTTTCCGTGCGTCAAACCGCCTTGCCATGTCTAATGTGCCCGAGGAACCTTCCCAGGTCCGACAAAAGCAGAAGCAACGCGAATTAAGTACGAGAGCCTGACCAGAAACTACACTTTACAGCCTGTTGCAGTCGAACACCTCGGCGGACTCGGAACTGACAGCAACGACTTCCTGAAACAGATTTGCCGCTAAATTATCGCGGAAACCGATGACAAAAGAGCCGGGACTTTCTTCAGACAGCGGCTGTCGTTAGCCGTCCAGATTGGCAATGCAGCCATTGTGAGAGAGTCGATACAGCGTGCCAAAGAAGCAACCGTCCCAGACCCCTGAATAACCCCATTGTCAATAATGACTCCATTCTCGAACTCATTCTTACCTCAATTCCGCGGCCACATATCAACGCCAGACTTCTTGATTATTCCAGACTTTTTAACATTCCCTGCCATTTGAAATGGCATTTTATAGTCTTTTGGTAATTTACCATTTTTGATTCGGAGAACGATTTAAGCCACATTTTTGCGGGGGCTTTGAGAGATAAACAGACAGGAAGATTTGTACTATAAAATTGCATTGTTCTTCTGATATTTTGAAGGTGCTTCGAGTATTCTCTATATCCGACTGCTCTCTGATGTTTACGAGAAAGTTCTCTCTGCAAAGTCTTGCCTTTTTTTGTAGTACTTTTTTCGTAACTTCGAGGTGAGTTGTATGGTTTTTTTCTCTATGAGTGCTCTCGAAACCTTTTGATGCTGCAATACAGTATAGGAAGTCTTCAACTCGATGTCCGTGTCTTGATGGAAATTTATGTTGTATTCAGTTCTTGGAGTTTTGTCTCGAAAGGATTTCACGGATGAGACTGACAACATATAGTCCTGCCTTTTTGAGGTCCTGATATATAAATATCAGGAAAATTGTTTCTTTGATAGTATATAATTGGTCGTATTCTGTTTTGAAATGGCTTCAAAGTTCGTACAATCTCTCTGCAGTCCCGAAATGGGCTGTTGTTGTTCAAGTGCCTTGAAGGTAGTTGTTGAATGCGTCGTGCCAAATTACATTTTCCTCGTTTGTGTTGGTTTTCGATACCAGATGGAGTAACGCCGGAGGCGGAGCAATAAACAGAATGGTCCAAGTGCAGAAAAACAGAAAAATATTGGTTTATACGGGCTAATTGATAAAACAATTATTGGAATCGTCAAAAAATACCAAGAAAACGAATAAATTCCGCATGAATTGACTAATTTCATTAAGTTTTTTGATTAAATTTTTTTGAAAATTCTTGATTACATTACTCAAATTATGCATAAAATGTTCGTTGCTTTGCTATTATTGACGTTTCTGATAATTAATTTACCGATTTGCTGATAGAAGTTGATATTGTTCTATTTTTCTGCTCTTGGACCCATTCTGCTCTTAGACCAAGCTTATTGACTGGCCACCAGTAACGCCGATGTCTTCTTTCCGCCTCGTAAGAAATAGTCTGAATAGTGAACTTGCGGCAATAATTATCATTATACTGGTTCTTTCTGATCTGTGTACAGATCAGAAAGAACCTGTGATTATAAGGCCACCCCGGCTGGCCTCATATCAAACCTTAAAAGACAATGTTTTAGTTTGTTAGGTTTGGGCCATGTTTCAGTTTTTTTGGCGAAAGGTTGGTCTGGTAAAAGGTCTCGTGACCTGGTATATGTACTAGAACATCACGACCATTTTTTGTTTCGAAGTGATAGTCCATCACATATGAACATCACGTGTGTCTTTGATTCAGAATTCCGGAAAGGGCCGGTTCATCTGACATGCTCTACAGAAGTCTTTTTCTCCTTAGCTCATTTGCCTTCCTTTCGAAAGTAATGAGTAAAAATTTGATTTTTTGTGCGTTTTTTTTACGATAAAGTGACTCATAACTGATTGTGTGTGTGTGTAATTGGGACGGATCGTTTTGTTTTCTGCCACGAGTTATCCTTTGTTCCGCGGAATTTGTGTATTATGATTTGATAATGATTGCACAGAATTGACATTTGTTGTGATATGGAGAATTATATCAAGTATTTTAATTACTCTAGATAAAACGCAATGGCCGAGCAAAACAAGGAGAAGCCAGAAGAAAATGCTGTGCACAAAAATGCAATTCTAGTCGAAAGCATAAAAAAGGAGATGGGAGTGTATAAACCCTACGAAACCTTCTCTATTAATCCGTACAGTAAACGTTAGTCTCACTGTGTGTTTACGTTTCTGAAAAACGTTAGTTAATCGACGTGTTATTTTAGTGCATGTGCTTGCTGGCAAGCCGAACTCAAAGTACGACCAACTCGATCCTTCCGCAGCTAACTGTAAGTCTTTAACTATTTCTCCAACTATGTTCTTAACGGTTTACTCCTTTGTTAGCTAAAAGGTAAACGGCCTTGTTATCTTCGCTTTTTTGTGCTCACTGCTTTAATTCAAGCATACTCTTTGCCCGCCAAAAGTTTTTACCCACTGACGTTTTTTTTTCGATAGCTAAATAATTGTGTATCCATCGTTTATGTTCTTCTTATCAAGCTCCTTTTTTAATCGATTCTCCAAAGTTTACCGTCTGATGACTTCGTTTGTAGTGCTTTCAATGCAGTGTTTTTCTGAGAGGTTTTGTCTGCTCTTGATCTGGTTTCCCGAAGTACGGCACTCAATAGTGTCTCATATTTTTTTAATTTGTTGTTTCGGCCAGCCCCTTGAGGTGGAAAAGAACTATGGCGTAGGGTATTTTTTCTCGGCCGACTTCAGGCACGTCAAAGAACCATCGGAGGGAGTTGTATTTAAAATGAAACACGTACTCTTAGGAAGCGCGTTCGATTGTCAGTCCAAGGAAATATAGCAATCCGTACTCTGTGGATTTTCGTCAGCTTTCCGCCCACTTTTTGAGCTTCTGCTCCCACTTATTGCCAATTTACAGTGAATTTATGCTTCTGGAGCTTTTAGGGCTAATATGGTTTTTTAGATTTTGGATCCATGATGGACTAGAGTTGCTGTTAACAATCTTACACAAACGAGCTAGCGAGCGTAGTGTTTTAACGAATTCGTTTTTCTTTCTAAGCCAACTCGCTCAGAAATTGCACAGCGACGGAAATTAGATAGTCCCTATTGAAGACTGGCTGACGTCAGATACTTTAATCACCGTCTCGTCTTAGCCAGTTAGTTTTGGTCTATTGAAGGGTCGACAAACATGTTACGAGTGTTAAGCTATCAGCCGAACGGAGAGAGCATTTAAGGTTCCCGCATTTTTCACACTCGGCCTCCCTCACAATGATGAATGAAAGCGCTGTAGTTTTTCAGTTTCTTTGTACTTTTCCTTACAAGTAATTTTACTTCGAAGAGCTAGGAATTTTTTTTATTTTGTTTCAGTCGAATTCTTCGATCAGATCAAGCGAGCCAATCAGGAGCCTACTAAGAAATACGACGAGGCTCAGACTGTTAACCAGGAGTACGGCTGGATCAACGACCCACTGGTTAGTTGACTGAAGATTTGTGAATATTTTTTTACTCATGTATTTCTTAAAGAGTGATTGATCTCTGAAAATGTTCATTGAAACGAGGCCGTCAAATTGAGCTAATGTTAATTTCACTAAAATGTCGAAAACTTTTACTCTGCTTTCATTGTTTTTACCCTTGCAAACGGGTATTGAACTGTTTTTCTCGTAATCAACTTTATTCCCATTATTCATTTCCTTTAATGAACTTTATTCCCATTACTCATTAAAAGTAAGAGCATATAGTTTCACTTTAAAATTCGAAAGTGGAAGTTTTTTTTTCAAAAAGCAAGTCGTTTTTTTTCTATTATTTTGCGTTCATTACATTTTTCCAATTCCTTTGTCTATGTTTTGTTTCTCAGACAGTTTGCCCTTGCAAACTTTTTCTCGTAATCAACTCTATTCCCATTACTCATTTCCTTTAATGAACTTTATTCCTATTGCTCATTAAAAGTAAGAGCATATATTTTCACTTTAAAATTCAAAAAGCACGTCGTTTTTTGTTATTTCTTTGGGTTCATTACTTTTTTTCGACTGTCCGTTGGCTATGTTTTGTTTTTCAGACAGTTGAAAGTCTTTACTCTGCTTTCATTGTTATTACCCTTGCAACCGGGTATTGAACTTTTTTCCCGTAATCAACTTTGTTCCCATTGCTGATTTTCTGGTGATACCTTAGTTTAAATGAATCTTAGGTGTCTTGGGCACACTTAGCCTGGAGGTAACGAACGCCTGGGACGGCAAAGGTACTGGATTCGAATCTGACAGGACTTTTTTTTTTTCAAACGGAAAATATTCCGTTTCGAAAAACATTGTCGGCTGTTATTCGTCTGCTTGTTTTGTGGGCTTGATTGCCACATCTCGGAAGCGTTTTTTTTTGCTGGACAATTTTCATTTTAGATGCTTTTAGTGTTTTTATTTACTCCTGCAATTTTTTATTTCACTTAACTTGACTTTGTTTTTCTATTTTTGTCTCGCTTAAAGGCTGTGTTCGGTCCAAATTATTTCAACGATATTTTATCGGCTTAGTGACCTTATTTTGGGTAGTTTCAAGGGACGCATAATTTTAACGCTCCTCTCTGGACTGCACAAAATGTTAAGTCTCAGAATAGTGATTGTTTTTCGTTCGACGAGAGTTTTCCCAACTTTTGTTGGCTCAGTTGGCGGTCAAATTGTTTTCGAATTTTCAAATAACCCCGTCGATTGTGATTTTGTCTCGTTTAAAAACTGTGTTCGGTCCAAATTATTTCAACGATATTTTGGCGGCTTAGTGACCTTATTTTGGGTAGTTTCAAGGGACGCATCATTTTTACGCTCCTCTCTGGACTGCACAAAATGTTAAGTCTAAGAACAGTGATTGTTTTTCGTTCGACGAGAATTTTCCCAACCGTTGTTGGCTCAGTTGGCGGTCAAATTAATTTCGAATTTTCAAATAACCCCGTCGATTGTGATTTTGTCTCGCTTAAAAACTGTGTTCGGTCCAAATTATTTCAACGATATTTTGTCGGCTTAGTGACCTTATTTTGGGTAGTTTCAAGGGACGCATCATTTTTACGCTCCTCTCTGAACTACACAAAATGTTAAGTCTAAGAATAGTGATTGTTTTTCGTTCGACGAGAGTTTTCCCAACTTTTGTTGGCTCAGTTGGCTGTCAAATTGTTTTCGAATTTTCAAATAACCCCGTCGATTGTGATTTTGTCTCGCTTAAAAACTGTGTTCGTCCAAATTATTTCAACGATATTTTGGCGGCTTAGTGACCTTATTTTGGGTAGTTTCAAGGGACGCATCATTTTAACGCTCCTCTCTGGACTGCACAAAATGTTAAGTCTCAGAATAGTGATTGTTTTTCGTTCGACGAGAGTTTTCCCAACTTTTGTTGGCTCAGTTGGCGGTCAAATTGTTTTCGAATTTTCAAATAACCCCGTCGATTGTGACTATGTAAATGTTTTACGCTAATAGATCATCATTCCAAGCAACAGCAAGCAATGCGAGTTTTAAATTTCATTCAAGTGGTTAAAACCCCAGTTTTACTTCGGGAAACTGGTTTTGCAATCTTCCTTTGGCGCATCCTTGGCAATAAAAAAATATTCAAAAAAAATTCTTTTGTTTTTTTGTTTGGATTTTTCTCTGCCACACTAATTGAAACCAATTGACACGCGAAATCGGAATCGATGTATCTCCAATCAATTTTTTTATGTTCTTCGTACTTCATGAAAGTAACGATGGTTATTATTTTTTGTCTAGGTAAAACTGGAGAAGGAAGACAAGCGACTCTACTTCGGAAGAGTGAACTCAGAGATCACCAAGTACATGGAAGTGTACTTCATGCAGAAAGAACAGGAGACCATGCACGACAAACACTGACACAAAAAGTAACATCTCACAACAGATAGAATGGAACAGCGCATGAACCGAACTCAGTGAATTCTAAATCTCACTGCTGTTTACTGATTGCATATTTGTATATTAATTATGTCCGGTGAGGTGTGAACAACTAACACCCTCAACGTGTGAATAAGTTTGTTTCATCCACTATATGCTATTGCGTGACCGGCAAATAAGACGACTGTAGTAAAGACGCCAACTGTTTTTGATGGGACTTTAAGACGACGCTACACGCAATTCTCCACCTTGTATTTCAGAAATTTGAACCGCTTAAATTCGTACTGCTCATTTTTCATGTAATAAGGCTTATTTGCCGTCTTAATGTATTGTCGTCTTAATGTCTTCTCATCTTATTTACCGAGCTTCTTGCTAGTGAAGGGGGAAATCGTGCATGCCCGAAGGACCAAATGTTTAAAAATTATGGAAATTAGAGTGAAAATCAGTCTGCTTCAAGGAAATTTATGGTCTTCGGCCATGAGATTAGCCACTTAATAAGTCAATTGATTGTATGTTGAGCTACAATTTTACCACCGCGTCTATAAACAGTATCTTTTAATCGCAAATCGATTTTCAAAAGGCTGCAAATTGAGATACTGTAGCTCACTGATGCCCAAATTGGCTCTGCTCTAAAATCCATCTTGCAACGAGTTTTTTTGTAGCCGTGAGATCATTTTTGACGTGTTGCACTCTTCTAATAAAATATTTACTTGATCATCGTTGAAAATATTGTAAATACTTGTAAAAATTGTATTGAAAACCTGTTTTTAGTATACACCCAAGACGCAAATAAATTTTGAGCTTATTTTAATGGTAGGAAAATATCGTTTTATCGAAACTTCAACAGACAGCATTTTTGGGTCATTTCATCTTTTGCATCCACAAAAAAGCACCCCCCCCCCTGTCCCCCTCCCTCTTCTCCCCTTTGTTACTGTTTTGAGACTTCCGTGTTGGTCGAACTCGCATAAAATTTTTATAGATGTACGCTTATCACTTATCAATAGCTTCGAAAAGGGATGAAATCCGCTTTTTGGCTCATATTTTAAATTTCGCTAGTGGTGTCAAAACCGTAGGCAGGATTGAATAGCAGACTTTTCTGTGCACTATTTAAGGTGCAAATCAGAATATGCTAAAGACGGGTTGAGAAATTAGACGATAATCAAATTAGACGGAGGCACTTAAAAGGAAATTAAACGATTTTGCAAAACTGCAATTGTGAGAAAATAGACGAAAGTGAGATAGATCAAAATTGTTTGCAGACAAATTGCGCGAAAAAAAAAAATTGTTTGCAGACAATTAAATTTCGGTGGCCAAAATTTTTACATGTCAATCATGCATAGTTTATTCAATTCAAAACTCTCTAGTTTTCGGATTTGACATTTTCTGTTCATTGCAACAAATTATTTTGATAGGTATTGTCATTTTGTTCTTTTTGTATTTGTGAATTTTGACTCTTAAGAAAAAATGTTGTTGGCCCTTTTCTTTTCATACCAGTGACGTCTAAAATGCCAGATCTGTAAAAAAATTTCGTCTAATTTTGTTTTTGTAGCATCCGTGTAACTTGCTTGGCGTCTACTTTCCTGGGCCCCGCTAAAAACACTTGATTGAAGTTCATTCACTGCTGTCTAATATTTCTTCGGGAGCCTAGGAAATTAGGCGATAGGTAAATTAGACGACCGTAAGGAAACGGAATTTATGGACAACCAGTATTTAATCAGCGAAAAAGGTAATTTAAGTCTAAGCAAAATTCGGGCAATTTGCACGCACGTTTTTGTCTAAATTGGACAACCAGTATTTACTCAGCCAGTATATAGTTAAAGTCTGTGAACAAGTTTCACGCAATTTGCACGCAAGTTTTTGTCGAATTTGGATGATATCAGCTCAGAGCCTGCAGATATATCACGAAAGTCACTTAAAAAGAAAACCAATGTAGATCATGTTTCATTTTTTCCAGGGAAAGTTTTTTTCATGAATCGTATTCAATGTTTTTTAAATCAAAATTTTTTTTTGCTGTCGGCTTAATGAAATACTAAGATGGCGAGAAAAAACGTAAATGATTTTAAGTTACGAACAAGCTTTCAAATTTATGATTTTAGAGCGGAAGAACAAAGTAATCAACTTACCCAGTTTTATACATAGTATTGCTTACTAATTCTTTTTGTTTTGCTTTTGATTAGTTTTATTTTTTTGACCATCATATAAGTTTGTTAACATGAACCGGAGGCTAAAGAATACGTGCTTTTTGATAGAAAAAAATTACAAACGAAACAACAAGATCTAGTCAACCCAGGCTGGCTTCCAAAAATACCAAAATGATTTAATAAAAGCTAAAACTAAGAGTTATATGTGATTGAAAGCCTGCAATATTTATGTTTAACGGTACTTGTTCATTTAAAGGTAAAGTTTCATCAATTTTGGTTTAATACTTGAGTTTTTACGAGCTGGTTACATATCATTTCTGGATACATATTCCAGAAAACGAAAATTCTTGAGTACTATCTATAGACCCGTCCAGTATCGACGTTTTAGGTTTTTGCCTGATCATGACCTGAGTATATTATGTTGAGGGAGGTGTTTTTTTGTGAAAAGAATATTTTCGCGAGTGACATTTGGTGAGTAATTTTGAAGGAAGTATGTAAATTTTCAAGATTGGATTACGTCTGTCAAGCTTTTTTCTCATAAAGCAAACTTTTACACCCCAGTTTATTTGGCGACTCAATTAATAGACGGCAATAAATGACGTAACTAGTATATTGACCGCAGTCCGCATTTTTGCTAAAACTTTTATAATCGTCGCTTCAAAAACTCAATTTTTTTCTCCAAAATAAAACAAAGATCAAGATATTGGAGCGTTTCAATTTCTAATAGCTGCTAATAAAACTTTTTTTTGTTTGCAAGAATGTTTTGTTATTGCTACGTACATTTTTTTAAGACTATTACAGGTACTGTGCGACTAGTTTATTCAAGATTAAAAAGATTCCAAGGTGTTTGAAATGTACGTTTTCGAACTTAGATAAGTTTTTTTAGAAATATGATTTTAATAAAAATTGGGGTGAGGCTTTTTCTAAGGTGGATCAAAAGCTTTTAAATGTTTTTCGAAAAAGGTTTTTTTCAAT